CGAGAACATTTTTCCATTACCCAGAAAATTCAGGAAAATTCCGGGGATGAGGGAATTTTTTTTTCCGGCTTTGAGAGTCGTCTCATTACCCGGAAATCTCTCATTCCCAGAAGTGCTCCGCACCAATTGTTCCGACTAATGGAGATATCACCACAATGCACATGAAGTCTGCTCACCTCAATAAATATTACTGTCATTTCATTAATGTTTCTAAGGGTTTTTGGAAGCTGTTGTCCTCAACACCTAGAGACAGAAAATAAAAAAAAATAGTCTTTCTCAACCTAGAGTATCCAGATTGTTTTCTAAACAAGGCATATTTTAAAGCTGGGAAATAATTTTTTTTTTACTGTACAGTATCTCATATTTCCTATTTGTTGTAAATATTACAAAAATTTAAAAAATATAATTCTTAACAAAAAAATTATGAATTACGAGGGATTTCGAAATGTGGGGGGAAGAATTATGGTATTTTTATTGTACACAGATCAAGTCATATCTCTCAGACCAGACATTCCAATGGTATGCGGAAAGGCATAAGAATGGAGGAAACTGCAATGGGCCTATTGGCAGCCCCGTTTACACCCAACTCCTATCGCTCATATATCTGTCCAAACTATATTTGTAGGTATCCAGTGTGTTCGAGTTAATGATGAAGTTGTGTAACTTGTTCCACTCATTCACTACTCTATTTCCATACCAATGTTTACCTATCTCGCACCTAAATCAAAATTTGTCTAATTTAAGACCCATTGTTACAAGTTCGCTCCTTGTTGGATAGTTTGAGTACCTTTGATACAGTATATCACCTTTGTTTAGTCCCGACTTCCATTTATACACCTCGATCATATCGCCCCTCATTCTACGTCTCTCGAGGGAGTGCAAATTAAGATGCTTTAATCTGTCTCTGTACTCAAGGTTCCTAATGCCCGAGATTAATCTCATTATCCTCCTCTGAATGCTTTTTAGGGATACTACATCCATTCTGAAGTACGGTGACCAGAACTGAGCCACGTAATCCAAGTGAGGTCTCACAAGGGCAAGATATACTGTAGTTTTAGGATAACCTCGCTAACGGTAGAAGGCAGCTATCAAACAGGGAGGTACTATTACCTGGGAAGATATTGGAAGCATAATGTGCTGTCTAATGGTAGACCCTGCTGCATCCTCCCAAGAGAGTAGCGCGGCAAGATGAGAGAGGGTGATGCTCCATAAAAAGTAGTCCGTGATAACGTTAAATTGAGTTGTTGGGACGTTATCCGAATTATTGGTATCTAAAGAATAGTGACGTACCGAAACAAAGTTAATCGGGGCGACGTTATACGAGGACTTACTGTACAGTGATTTATGCTATAACGCGTGTTTTGATAACGCGAATTTGCTCTAACGCGATTTATGAATTAGGAACGATATTTGTATAACGCGAACGCTTGTTTGCTATAACGCGATTTTTGCTTACTATTTCTCAAATTTTGTGGTACAGTGGGGTATGCTATAACGAATCTAATTGGTTCTAGAACCTTGTTCGTTATAGCATTCGTTCGTTATAGGATTAATCCGTTCCAGGCCCCCAAATACAACTACTTAACACTGAAAAATATAATATAAAATTGTAAAAAAGTGCATAAAGATGCATCTAAACCCCTGAAATAAAGAATATCATTAATATTTGTAATAAAAAAAAAATAAATTAGAAAAAAAAAAATAATTAAATAATGTTCGTTGTAGGAGTTTCGTTCGTTATAGCATTCTCAATTTTATAGGTAAAACTGTTCGTTATAGGAATATTCATAGTAGAATCCGTTCGTTATAGCATACCCCACTGTATTAACTGTGAATATAGTAAAGAAGAATATCAACAAGAAGCGTTCTGGTGATAGAATTCCTGGTGATGATCGTAAAAGAAAGGATATAACACTTGAAGAGAAGCTCGATTTTATCAACCTCAAAATCACCCTTCTACCCCATCAAGTAAAGTGTTACATTTACTGTATGATTTCATTATTAGATATGAATGTAACATTTATTTAGACTGTGCTATCCTTTGTGTTAGACTAACTACTAAATTTTTTCGATTTCGAGTAATCTGCACCTAACTCTATTTTCTCCATAAGCCCTGTTATTTCTATTACGCGATTTTCTATAACACGATATTTTACAAGAACACAATTATCGCGTTATAGCAGAACTACCTGTACTCTACTTCCATTTTATGCTTGCACTGGTTCTTCTGATTTTGGGTGGGAGCAACTTTAGTCCACACAGTTGTCGTCTTTCTTCTCACTGCAAACAAATTTATTTTTTCCTCTACAATTCCCTAATTTTGGAGTTTACATCAAATTTCTTTAAATAAATTCTCAGTCTTCCATCATTTCCAGGATGAAAAGCCACTCTTATTATTTAGTGGGGGAGGTCTGGTGTAGATTAGTACTGTGGGGAAGAATTTGAATGGAGAAGTCTCACGCCCTTATTATTAAACATCATCTTCCCTCGAAGAGGGTCGTCGTGTTTAAACCTGAGTTTTAAACTAAATGGGTCCTGAGGGACTCCACAGTACAGTACTTAACGGGGTGGTGTGGCGGTAAAATTAACTAATTCCAATATTATAAATTTTTTTTATTGGAATTAGCTAATTTTACCGCCACACCATCCCGTTAATGCGGTGTTCCTTATGACTCATTTAGTTTAAAATTCGGATTGAAACACGACGACCATCTTCAAGGGAAGATGTAGTTTAATAATACGGGCGTTAGTGCGAGGAGATGCTGGTGAAAAATTGCTACTGTCAGGAGATTGGCAAGGATTCTACCTCATTGTTAATAAACCAACCATACAGACTAAGCTTATCATTGAGTCACCCAAAATTACCCTCATATTCTTCCTTCAAAAATATCATTCTACTAATGACAATGCAATAACTAGTCTCCATATAACTGCTAACAAACTGACTTGTACCACTGATTTGTTTAATGAAGCAAATATTTGTATTATTGGGGGCTTCACAGTAATATCAAACCTGAATGCCTGTTACAACCATGTAGTAGGTGCAGGAATCTTGAGGCCCTGTATTTTTTAATCCCTTACACTGTACTGAAATTGCATTTTTTCTCAGTGTAATACAGTACTGTAGTCATGAAAAATTATTTTCCAAAATATTAATTATCTGCTGGACTGTAAATTATTCTTTAATTTCAATGTAATGGTGTGGTACAACACAAAATTCCGAACTATATATTTTTAAGTGTATGCAGTGTTTCAACATCCAAATGTTGTACTGTGGCATAAAACAACATGCTGTAGTGACTCATAATTTCTTCTCAATACACCAGGCTATGTCCTTTCTTATATGGTTGCCCTTGCAGTAACTCCCCAGACATAATAGCTGTCACTTTCTTTGTTCAGTACCCCTGGCTATAATGCAAATATATGTCAGGTACATTGCTAAAGTGTACACCAAAATGATTGTTGCAAAATTCTCCCAAATGCACAAGAATTCAGTAACGACTAGGCCTATGTTAATTACACTACCATTTGCAAAAGGTCGCTGAACCTATGCATGAACTGTATGTAATGTACACTCCAGGACTAAAGTTGTGGACAGCCACACACAACCTACAATAGTGACCTCTGGCAATGAGGAAAATCATAGGTTAAAACTATGACACGATATAAATAAAACTAGTTAAAATATTTTGAAACCAAAATTAAACTACAATTATAAAAATTACATGCAGTTAACCCCTAGGCTTTGGGTCATGTCACTTGACATTTTGATCTTTCCCTGGCCTGTTTGAATAAAATGGGCAGTCCTGACTAGATTATGTTGCCATATATTGTAGGTATTTATCTTTCACTCACATGAGACTCCTAGTCTCGTCTCAGCTTTTGAGATGTAGGCATCTCACTCTTGGACGTGACTCACATCACTATTTTGACCCCCTCCCCCCAAACCACATGTCTAGTATTGTGATCAATTACTGGAGCAGTAATAATTATTGTGAATAGTGAAAATAGTAATGACATAGAAAAGTAAGTGTCCTGTACTTCAAACTGCCTACAAATTAGTGTCATTTACTTCACTTCTACTGGGTCACATCACCAATCCATGCCACTTCACTAACATTTTCAATGTTCCTTAGCCCCGATGTTGCCAACCCGTGTTAAGGATATTTATTTATTTCCTGTTTATATCATTCATGACCAGTTTGTAAGAATACTTTTTATTTGCGTTTTTTAATGTTCCTGAATGGGGGCATTGCCGACCATAGCCCAGGAGTTAAGTACCCCTGAAGCAGTTGAAAAAATTTCCTCACTGCCAGAGGTCACTCGTGTAGGTTCTATGTGGTGGTCCATGCAGATAAGGTAGTGAATGTAATTTCAAATATGTATCATTGCTAAAGGTTAATAGTGTGTGTGTGCATCAGTAGAAAAAGTAAAGTGAAATAACATTTCCAGTTGTACATTATTGCCACTGGTTGATACATAGGCTCTGTGTTAATTAAACAAGCCATTAATATTTTACTGTACAGTATTTGGTTAATGCTGGATGGTTTTATTCACCAAGGAGTGCAGCCAAAAAGTGTTTGGCTGTACAAAATTTCAATTGGTTAATACAGTACAGAAATATTTGGAATGAGAAGACAAGTACAGTATTATTATCACCATTAACTGACATAACACAAATTTTGCAACCACTTGTCTTGTGGCATCATCCTACTGTAGGTGGGATGTCTAAATGTAATTTTCATAAAATGTCCAAAATCCTTGTGGTACATATAATACTGTGTATTGATGTACAGTACTGAAAGAATTTTTTACTATTGATGACAATGGGCATAATTCATTTCACAAAAGTAATTAATATAAGAATACTGTACAGTACATCTAAAATAAGAAAGGCAAAATTATCTAATTACAGTACAGTAGTTCAAATATTGATGAACATCCACTTTTCCTGCTATTTTAGTTACACTGGCCTTGTATCAGGAAAGAGAAAACTTGTACAAGGGGCAAATTCAGAATGTATTTGAATAAGAATTACACATAAAACTCATAGAGTCTATTTTCTTTCTCAGCAATAAAGATGTCCAGCTGCATCTAATACAATGTTAAGACATTCACACGAGGTAACTATTTGCTAATTGTTGACAACCTTATCTAACATCAGGTTATTCTTCTCTGGCAAAAATAAATCAACTGTGATAGACCTGCTCTCTGAGCTATAGATGGCCCACCAATATTGTTCACCACTAAATTTTAAGACAATAAATCATCCAAAGCATGACCATGGACAAAAATTCATCTACAATTCACTTTATATATCAGAACAATTATGACTTGAGAAGCATACTTGCACCATCCACGCAGGGGAGTATCACAATTAAGGGAGTTGGCTTTCAATTTGTAAGTAAATTCTAATACTATGAACTGCATTTACACAGTACACTCATACAAAATTCTACCTAAAACCACTTAGCTGGGTCTGTGCAAGTTGTAAAAATAAAATAAAATAAATTGAATTAATTAAAAGTTGGCGCATTTAGCTGGACCAGTATAATTTGAAGGAAAAAAAAAAAAAATTTAAGAGCACATAGCTGGATCTGTGCTAATCCCTTTTCAGTCAGGTGGAGGAAAAAATAAAGGTACTTGTGTGGCAAAAAATAAACTTCCTTAACCTAACATAGCCTTAGTCCTACACTCGCAGGAATGTGTTACATCAATGGCCGCCGGTCTGTTCCTGGTAAACCTCAATTACGTCATCATTTTCCATTTCCAGCTGAAAAGATAATTTTTTTAAATAAAATTATTCTATATACTATATAAACAAAGTTAGATTTACATAGACTACATTAATTTTAATACTTTCTTTGCTTATTTCATTACAATTCCTTCATAAATTTTGATGTGTTACATCGACACTTTCCATAATCAAGGGCAATGACCTTTCATATACAGTACCCCCAATACTGTAGACTTTTCTTCCAAACCACCAAAGAATTTTGATCAGTTTTAATGGTCTTTCACCTCACATCTTGGCCAATACCTGTCAGCTCGCTGTCAAACACCCATTAACATTTGAAACTTTCCTTTTCAATTTCCCACCATACAGCAGCTGACCCCTGCCATTTGCATTCCCTCTCTCTTTTTACCAAACTTTCTTTGCTTCTTATCACACTTGATACCCCATTCATGAAAATACTGTACTGTATTTCCTGTGGGACATTCAATATCATTACCCAATTATTATAAGTTAAATTACAGGATTCATTTAAAATAATAACCATGAATAAATTGTCATAAATTTGAGTTTACACAAAACAATTCATGTTGTGAAGACTGGGACCATTCAAAATTCTGGCCTTAATGGACCATCTGAAGATTAGCCCCATGTGCACAAGTCCATTTGTTAAAAAAAATGTGGCATGTAATAAAGAAAGCCAGTGAAAAGTGCAAGGCCGTGGCCGCACTGACAGCGGGCAGGCGAGAGCAGGCTCATGTTGTTGCCAGCTTGTGCCCACTGCCAGTGCTGCCACGTCTATAGGTTACAATGCTGCAAAGTCTTCCGCTCCCACTGCAGCCTAAAGTTGAGTTCACAAACCACACACGTATGAAGTGATAACGATATTGTATTGTTTTCAATACCAACCTAGCATCTCGTGTAACATGCACAAATCCAATATTGCATGAGTAAAATAAAGCATTTGTGGCAGGTCTAGAATCAATGATGTATTTTATGCTATTTTGATTGCATGTGTTAGCCATGATTACTTGAAGACATGGTGTCCAGTTTGCCACAGGCAAATTTAAATAATTTTTACAGCTGGACACCCTTCCTATTGCCAATGCACTTTTACAGAGTGGGAACCCCACGCAGAACTTCGAAGCACCCTGTTAGCTGGCAAGGCAGGGTTGCAAAATGATAAAACTATATGCACCCATGTGGGTCTCCCCAATTAAACCACTGTAGCTGCTTCAAAACTCCATATGCACATGTACATCACGTGTGCATAGCTGTAGCAAAATTCAAATAAAGCCAATGCATAATGTAAGATATACCAAAGTAGTCATCTGAGTATTCAAACAGTTTATTCTCAGACTTTATCTCATCTGTTGAACCATGAATGATTGGCTCTTAAGACTTTATCTTATCAGTTGAGCTGAGAAAAGTTTATCTTGGGCTTTATTTCACCTTCTGAACGAGAATAACTTGCAGTCCCCCTGAAGATTATGGCTTATGATAGTCAAGATCAAAATGAACCAAGTCCTGATGTTTGGTTTAAAATTTTCTGCAGAATTTTTGACATTATATCAGGGAATCTTTGGATCTAGCTCGTATATTGATATTGAAACCGTTTATTAGGCTAGAAAAATACAGATACAGAGTGGATAAAAATAACAATATTAACATGGCTGTAGCCAGTTGAGAACCTGAGCTCTCTTGAAGGACTGAGTGAAGAGAATTATTCTGTTCCCATTTTAAAAATTGAACCCATTGCTGTATAACAGCAATGGTCCTTCAGCCCATTGTCAGGAATGACAAGTGGCCTTTCACTTGCAAGTCACTTGTGACATGACCACCATGATATACTCCCAACTTACAACAGAGCCAATAGAAGTGACCACCTACATGGTATTCTAACTCTCCTCCTCTCCATAGCAAAGAAAATACGGAAGCAGAAGGATATTTAATTTTACTAGACTTTGTCAACACTAGTCAGAGAAAAGACAAATAAAATCCCTAGGAACTCAGGAAGAACAAAAGAAAATTGTCCCATGAAGGAAAGATATTTAATGATGAGTACTTAATGCATCATAATACACCAATAATTAGGGAAGTTAACTCACCGCTTTAGGCGTCTCTTCATCGTTAATACGTCGTCCATCAAAGAGAAAGCGAAGCGAAGCTACTGGGACGCCCACACGTTCACTGTATGATTTCTTTAACTTGCCCATTTGTGTTGTCATTTTCACACGAAAGTGAATCTCATTGGAATCCTGTTAAAGGAGGTACTGTTACAATGAAACAAACTACAGGTATATAAAATTAGTACCTTGTATGTATATAACTATGCAAAATTATTTTAGTATACAGACATCATCATCCTACCACCTGACATATTGGAAACTCATTTAGCATGGTTACCTAAGCTGCCTAAACTTATCACCAGTCATATCAAACTTCTAATGGTACAGCCCTTGTATATATAATTCCACAACAGTTTAACGATGAGCTAGGTAAAGCAATCATTCAATGATATATAGCACTGACTGAATGATTTTTGAACCCAATAAGAAATGTCCAACAATCTAACTTTGCCACCCTAATTCCCTCAGTCATGAAAGAATTTAAGAATAAATTGGGCAACCAATGAAAGAATCACAATGTAGTTTATGATTTAAAGGTGGCATAAAACATCAAACTGAATTAAAAATATAAATTATAGGAGCATTGATCTGCATCTTGAGCCACTAGACTACTTCTAGAATCAGCATGATGTAAAATTTTATTTCCTGAACCTCAGATACTGTACTTTTTACCCAAATTTCATCTGCACCAAGCTATTTTGCAAATATTCAGCTGCTTTGCATTTCTCAACTCACCATTTTGGATGCACTACATCACAAGAAAACATATCCCCCAGAACACATGTAAACCACATTGTATAAAGACAGCTTTCCTACAGAACTTAGGTACCATTCCCCAAATCTCTGGGCTTTCAAGGGTGTTATAGCCTATACTGTACACCCATACCCTATTTGTTCATTGGTGAACCAATAAAAAATACAAGGCTTGGAAGAATGACATGTGAATTATAGTATTTTTATGAGGTGGAGTGCTACTGTTGTGAATTAAGCACAAATTTGAAGCCTTACCCCTTGATAATGTTCCAAGTTATTCTACACAGCTAAATGACCTGCACCCTAATAACTGAATCACATTTAAGCCACCCCACCAATTAATTTACTCAACCAATGGATATGGGAGTGACTGCAACACTGTTTTATTTGAGGTGGACCTTTCCTCACTTGCTTGACGCTATTGATGTACAGTAACCGACCAACTACCTGTTCAGTTCTGGTATACATCCTCCATTCAGTTGCGCTGAACTCGAGACAAACACCAAGAAAGGAGTTTGGAAGGCCTTGTAGCAGCAGTGCAAACACACCTTCAAATAATATGAATTCTAGAGCCTCGAGGGTTTGGAAGAAGTTGTGTGACAGCTGCTCAAGTTCATGTGGAGGTACTGTACTGACCAGATGATTTAGTCAACATAGCAGAATGAAGTTGCCAAACAACAGAACCAATCAACATTTTAGTGGCTGGCTCATCACCTCACATTCACTGATCAAGAGATCCAGGAAGGGACTGGCATGGATCCCAACTTGGAGAAATTTACATAATGGAAGTTTGATAATATTTCTATTAAGGAGTTTTATACAAAGAAATAGCATTGCTCCGATGTCTTCCTTGTGCTGACCTTGGTATTTTCAGTTTCTAATTTTGTAATTAGTTTGTTGACATTGTATGCAGTAATATCTCGGATAGCCGGAATCTTAAATACCGGAAAAATTAAAATCCCGAGAAATTGCCAAACCATCTTTCCATTCTGAGCATTCGAATGAACTTCTGAGCGATTGTATCATGTGCCTAGCACATGGGTGGGATAGCTGCATGAAGAAGTTAGGTCATAGGCTCAATACTCATGTGATGTGATTAGCTACTACAGTACTGTCATGTGTGACTACATGGGATGCCTATGATTGGCTAATGTATCTTGCAGCCTATCTTAATCTCTGGCATCAATGGTGCTGCCATTGTGCAAGCTTGTTTGCTGCCGTTTTCAAATATGTGTGTTATGCAGTACTGTACCGGTATATAACTGGCAAAGACTACTGTTAAAACAGTGTTAAGATGGGACAAGTGATTATTGTACAGTTGCATATATACATACAGTAAATGTGAAAGTACCTTACGTACAATGCATAGCAGAGAGAACAGTGTATGCCTACTGTAATATACAGTAGTCCCTCCATTAACAAGCGGTTCAATTTATGAGATTTTGGTTAACGAATTAGCTCCCATAAGGATTTTCAGTTCGATCAACGACAGCCTTACGAGAAACACGCTTTGTTGCGCGCATCAGCTAATCGGCTAGTCTGCCAATACAGTTATCGGTTCTATGTTTACATTTGTTTCCAGTGGAGTAAATAGAGAAAGTTGTGCTCTTGAATATTTTTGCATTTTTTATATTAAAATTATTGGTCATTCTGAAATTTAGTTCACATATTGATAATATATACAGTACAAGGTACAGTTTTTGTGCGCCCATCAGCTGATCGAATTGCCTGCCAACTCTTCTCAGTTTAACGTTGTTTACAGTGGAGTAAGCATCAAGTTTGTTGGTCTCTAATATTTTTGCCTTTTTACATTAAAATTATTGGCCATTCTGAAATTTAGTTAACATATTGACAATATACAGTGCAGAAATTATTAAGAAATACAAAGAAGGCATTAGAGCCAATGCACTCTGTAAAGTATATGGCATGGCATCATCAACTGCCTCTACAATCAGCTGTTTGCTATGTAAACAAAGCCGCCGGGAATACGACATGCACACCTCAAAGTAAGTTAAAATATAGTATTCTATTGTTTTTTATTTATTAGCGTACAGTACTGTATTTTGTTTATATTTAATGTTTTGTTAATTCTATTACCGGTATACAGTATTTTGTGTATACCTTTTCTGTGAGTTGGAACTAATTACACCAATATCCCATTGAAATAATAGAATCAGTTAACGACTGACTCTGTGGAACCAATTGTGCTCGTTAATCGAGGGACCACTGTACTTTAAAATGCTTAACAGCGACCTTTCCACTTTAATACTTGCAGTGACTGCTACAGTAAATCATTATCATAAAATCATGAACCACCCTAAACTAAGATGTAATATCTTTTACTTAGGTTAGGTTAAGGTGATTCGGATAAATGATAAGGTACATTGTAACAGTTGCTGAAGGCATTTGTATGGAAAGGTTGCTGGTAATAATTTGTATAACAATATTTCAAGCACAATAATGACTGTGACCAACATAGAAGTTGTCTTCAACACAATAAAATAAAAAGGTAGCTTGAGTGCACTAGAATGACTAAGTACTGGATAGCCAAAAGTACTGTACATTAGTGTGGATAGGCTTGTTCAACATAAAAAACCTTGTTCAGAGCGCATTGGTGAGGTTCTGTGTAGAGGCAGACTGAGGCGATTAGGCAGGTTGAGAATATGGAGGGGGAGACCCCCAAAAGGTAGATTAATAATGACGTGGGAAGATGTAAGAAATTACCTCAGAGATATGTACCTGATGAGAGAGGCTGCAAGAGACCATGCATAGAGAGCTGCCATTAGGTAATCACAGAGTTAACCCATACACGAGTGGAAAATAGTCATAATACAGGAAGAAGTATGAAGTTGCCTCTGAACCTCAACAAACTAGAATTTTAGCAGGAACTAACCAAAGTAATTATATACAGTTCATATTACAAATGTATCAAGTTATGATTCTAAAGTATTATGGGTAATAATTTACAACAGTAGCACCCTTTTAACCAGCAACTTGAGAAATTATTCTAAAGATAAAAACTCATATCTCGTAAGTCCCACAAAATGGGAAGGAGTAAGCTTCCCATAATATTATTTTACAATTTTCCATCCCAAACACAACCACTTATCTACTGTTTACATCAGAGACGTTTCGTCACCTGCACATGAACGCATCCAATTTTTTTAAAAACCCTCTACATTTGACAAATTATCACAAAAAAATTAACCTAACTTCCTAATATATATATATATATATATATATATATATATATATATATATATATATATATATATATATATATATATATATATATATATATATATATTTGTTAGGTTAGGGACCAGAAAAATACCCAAAACAACCTGTCAGCTATTGCCAAAACCTGTAACTTAACCAATTGTGTGAAGAAAAAAAGGGGGGGGGGGGGATGTGCGCAGTTGATACACGCAAACCGGGAAGAAGTCTATAAGGTAAAATTTTAGTTTCTGTCATCTCAGTATTTACCAAACCTAAACTAGCCATAGAACCTAGGAACTATACCTAAGCTAACCAGAGACTTTGTCCCCCAAGATTCCATTGAAAACAAGACAATCAAACCAATATTTATGGTAATTAAACCCCCAAATAGAGCTTCCGTCATTACTGTTTATGTTTAAAAACACCAAAATCACACATTTATATTGTAGTTTACGGCAAGGAAAACACAAGAAATATTGGAGCAATATTTATTTCTTGGCCAACAAAACACGTAGATATATGATATTTTTTTTGCCGTTTTACCCCATAATTTACCTCGTCTTTCATGCCCTGCCCCACAAATGGTGATTTATGATCATAGAGAAATAAAAAATAAAAACATAATGCAAGGAAACATTGCATCATTTTTATCATCCAAACAACACCTGTAAAAAATAAGATTTTTTTTAAAGTCCTTTGAATGCTAACGGTCTGCTCGACTATTACCCATTAATTTTCTAAACATGTGAGCATAAAAGAGCATAGTGGATACAGGTACAGCAGCCATGCGCCAAAAATCACATTGGATATAGGTACAGCAGCCGTATTGATGGACTGTATTGTTAATGGTTAGGTTATAGAATAGGGTTGGTTAGGTTAGTCAGAAAGAAGGCCATCTTAGTAACTATCATTGTATAGGCTGCCCACCACGCATCCTAAAACTGGTTCTTGCTCTTGTGAGACCACACTTGGATTACGCAGTTCAGTTCTGGTCACCGTATTACAGAATGGATATAGAATCCTTGGAAAGAATTCAGAGGAGAATGACAAGACTAATCCCGGGCATTAGGAACCTTGAGTATAGAGACAGGTTAAAGCATCTTAATTTGCACTCCCTCGAGAGACGTAGAGCGAGGGGCGACCTGATAGAGGTGTATAAGTGGAAGGCAGGGCTAAACAAAGGGGACATTACAAAGGTACTCAAACTATCCAACCAGGAGCGAACTCGTAACAATGGTTTTAAATTAGACAAATTTAGATTTAGGCGGGAAATCGGTAAACACTGGTTTGGAAACAGTAGTGGATGAATGGAACAAGTTACCAAATATCATCATTAACTCGAATACGCTGAATAGCTTCAAACATAGGTTGGATGCTTATATGAGCAATAGGGGTTGGGTGTAAACGGGACTGCCCAGTATGGGCCAATAGGCCCGCTGCAGTTTCCTCCATTCTTATGTTCTTATATGCATTAGGCTGCCATACCTGTGCCCTAAAATAAGCCTTTCTTAACATTTCTTTAACAAAATATGTAACATAACTAGTTTAGGTGCAAATCTTCTTATATTACAAATTAAATGTTACTCAACACTTTTGCCAAAATGCTAACATGGTGTCGTTTCAGGTTATATTGGGGTATTAATTTTAGTTTTATCATCCAGGGAATCTTAAAAATTTAACCCCCTCCAAAACGGGGAGGGGGTTTGGGAGCCGAAGCCCTCACACCCCCCCCCAGTTAGGTTAGATTTTACCTATATTAGGTTTAGCCTATGCTAAATATTAACTTGGTTGTGTTGCCAATCAAATAATTCACTGAAAATTGTAAGGAAATGGCACAAATTGAAAAAGCTGGCAAGACAAATACACATATCATATTGTGTGAGCCCTCCCAGCCCTAAAACAACTATAGGGCAGAAGGTCCTAACACAGGTAGGGTGGCACACAGTGTTTAGAGCTGGCAGAGCACAAGTGGCGTGGCCGAACCCTAACTTACCCTACGTATAATTACAATATTATTATTACACATTATTCCTCTCATAAATATCAAGCATATCATTAACAAACACAGCTAAACTTACTTGTCCTACAACTTTAAGTTTGATGTACTCGTTTCCCTCGCCCTCTGGCTTGGCGTCCTGGGGGGGAGAAGAAAATCACGTTATTCACCTAATTTCGTCGGCAATATTAACCTATCACCTTTACTTAATGACCGAAGAGGATATCATCAAGGTTTTCTTAGGCAGGAGAGGGGAGAAATTACTGTACTTACAGCGTTATCAGACATTGTGTAAAATTATGGCGGGAACGCGTGGTCTTTGGTGTGACATACAACAAGTAAAGCATCCGGGTCTGGAGAACCAAAGATGGCGGCCTAAGTTACCGCCAAATTTAAACCTTAGGATAATCTTTTTTAACACCACTTATATTTGTTTATAGTATTATATAAGCTGTTATTTTAATATTTGTTGTTACTTGGGGTTTTTTTGTTATATAAAAAAATATGTTTATAAAGGCGGGACATAATTATGTTACCTAGGAGTTGCCGTTTTCTATGATTTTCTGTTATTTTCAGGTGGTAGTAAAATAGAAAACGGAGGAAGATGGTAAGGACTGTTACAAATGAATCAACAACCAATACCCTACAGCACTTGACTAAGACTATCATTACGCAACATCAGAGAGCCTGTTTTGCGACTAATGCACAATATAATCACCAGGAATTGTTCGTGTTTACAGGTGTTGAACACGAGGTCATTATTCAACCTTGGTCACTTTGCGCGGGAAACTCCCCATTACTTTTTTTAGAAGACTATAAATAAACCATTGTTCCAATTATATGAGGACACTAAGGCTTTCCATTAATCTAATTTTATTTTTATTTTCTGTTGTGTGTTTCTGCCTTTGACATTTACTTATCTATTACCACAAAAACTTACTAGCCAGTGTAGTATATTAATTAATCTTATTTTTCTTTGGTATAAACAACCTAAACATGGTTGATATATTCCCATGAGTTGCTACACTAGCCTACATGGTCACCTGAGGGGTTACACTGACCACTAGAAACACCTACTTCTCTTTTAGATGGAGTGTCCAGAGAATGGGATCGGTTTTTGTGGTAGTAAATAGCAATATGACTTATGGTCCCCTATGTATGTGCAATACAGGGAAGAGTTTTGGGTGTTGGTCGTGTAGCGGTTTCCTTCTGTACTAAGATGGCCGAAGATAGTTGTAAGTGGTATAAATTATAATAAATAAAAATAATTAAATCCCCGGGAGGTAAAGAGTTGAGTTTCTTGTGTGTTAGTGGAGCTGGACGTGTGCCACTGGAAGATGAGTTTCACCCAGTATTTGGCATAAGATTGGTCTCATGTTTTGAAATGTTTGCTGATCATTCATAATGGAGGATGTTATCTTTCACAGGTCTGTAGTTAAGGCAATAGCAGGAACCTTGCAAAGAAAGGGTATAAGGCCTTTTGGTTGATCCTTCTGGATTCATCAGGGCGTCTAGTGTTGGAAATAACTTTATGCCACCTTGTCACCTATGAGTAATTTTTTCTAGAGGGCAAAATTGAAGATGGCCGCTAAATCACCCAGAAAACATCGTAATGAAGTCCAAGATCAACTCTCCATGTAAATCGAGGACAGAGATATTGACAAATACAAGTCGCGGTCACCCAATCAGCGACCATTTTACAATCCAAGATGGCTGTTGCACATATAGATTTGTATACAATCCTATCTGACTAGTAGACATAGAAAGTATAAAGATAAAATCTAAGATAAACTCTCTGGGGGGTCCGACTAATTACCCAAATGTACCCAAATATAGCCGCAATGAAGTCAAATAATGGTCCTACATGAATAAATCGGACTGCTAATCACTTCTCGACTAGTATTTGGTGTCACGAAGTCACAAAAAATTGGTAAACTTAATTTAATCTGAGTTAATAGATCAAGTGCATGTACCTAACCTAACCTAACCTAATCTAACCTAACCTAACCTAACCTAACCTAACCTAACCTAACACAACACAACTCAGATTAAATTAAGTTTGCCAATTTTTTTTGACTTTATGACACCAAATAATAATCGAGAAGTGATTCACAGCCCGAATTACGCTTGTACGACCATCATTTGACTTAATTGCGGCTACATTTAGGTAATTCCTCGCTCCATCGGTACATGCACGCGATCTATTAACTCAGATTAAAGTAAGTTTTCCAATTTTTTGTGACTTTCTGACACCAAATACTAGTCGAGAAGTGATTAGCAGTCCGATTTATTCATGTAAGACCATTATTTGACTTCATTCCGGTTACATTTGGATACATTTGGGTAATTAGTGGGACCGCCTCTGGGTGTTCCGACGGCTGAGTTGGTGTGAGTAAAGGTGATGATTTGGCGGTCATCTTGAATTTCACTTTCTAGAAAAATTGCTCACGGGAACAAGGTGGCATTAAACTATTTCCAACACTTGGCACCCTGTCGAGTCCGGCTTAACCAATAAATTGTATATCCCCATCATTCCGTGGTCCTGCTACCCGACTATAAGGTGTGAGGTAAGATTGGTCTGTTTCTTCAGCAATGTAGGCTTTGTGTCGCTGCTGTATGTAATAGTAAAGGCACATTCATTAATTGCCTGGGAGTAAAAATTAATTATAGTAATAATAATAATATTATGTAGCATAAATTGCTTGTTTGGGGATTTATGGCCACTTCTCTTTTCGGCTATTTCGGCCGTAGTATAAATTAATAATTTTTATCGTAAGGGGTTAACCAGGAAACTCCCCCCGGGTCTGGTCCCTAAAACGACACATGTTTACCAATGAAATAATAATTTCAGTGCTGTTTCATTTTTGTTCCGTTGCCATTTTAACATAGTTAGCGATGGCCTTCCCCAATAAATTTGACTAAAGTCAAATCGGTTGTGTACTCGTATGCCAATTGTGATGTTGATGCTGAAGATGATATCTCACTTATTTGCAAGACAAAAATGCAATAAATAAAGTGGCACCCCTCTCTGAACCTTAATTACCGGAAGGCAGTGGTTACACTCTGTCCCCGGAGATGTTAACGACACCGGGGGAAGGGAGACGGGGGGGGGGGCGTGGAGGTCGTACTTCCCAACTTGTGACCGTCGGTTGTCTGGACTAACTTCGTAACATTCTCGTCATTTTTTAAAACAATTGAATCCTGTTATTGAGTTTAAAATTTAAACAAAAGTGCTCAAATTTGTTTGAGAATCAACTTCCACTTATTCCCTTTGGCCATAATACGTCGGCTTTTCTTTATATTTCGGTTTTCCATAGGAGCGTTATTGGTTTCTTGCTGGAGAAATAAACCCTCAACGTTGACGAGTATCATATAATTCGGTCAAAACCTGTCAAAGAACAATTCTCATATAACAAATGCTGTTATCTCAGGACACATAGTATGAATAATACAATCAATATACAGTACATAGCCTGTTAACATCTTAAATATAACTCACATGTTATAACTGTTGATAGATCAGGAGACAATTTGTATAATATGATCAAAATACAGTACTGTACATAAATATACTTATTAAAGTTATTTAGGATTTCTTAGCAGATTCTAATACTTCACGATCACCCACGTTTTAGGGTCAAGTGGTCTGAACCAACGTGTTGTCTATGCTGTAGAAATCGGTACACTACTGTCGAGGGCAATCGCAGCCCGGAGGCGAGGACCATCTGTTTCGTATTAAAACACTTCAGCAGATTCGTCGTCAACACTATATCTCTCTCTCTCGCCTAGTTTATCTTACTGTGGCGGTAACACACAGAGTTCATTCTGATGACAACGAGATATTTTCTGTGAACAAAACTTTGAATAAATTTCATCTGTTGACTTGCTTTGCTCGCTGCTCGGTCCAAAAATACTATCTGAAACAGCCTAACAGGTTAACATATCAAATAACTAGTCTCGCCAGTTTTTAGGTTCATCCCCAATAAAAAAAAGATTTATATTGAGATATTCAGCGAATATATACAGTTGTATAAAATGCCGGGGCGGCGCGCGTCTGTGTTGAAGCCGACGCTTATGTGTTGGGGCTTCATCGAAGAAACCCTCAACCTCGGAAGATTCCAGTGTTAAGGGATGGTGAGAGTGCTATATGCACTGTCTTCAGCTCCAGTTGTCTGAAAAGGAGTGCCACTAAATCAGCTCAGTTTATAAAAAAAAAAATATTCAGTTTTATTGATAATGCTGCGGTAAGGCTATCCAATTTTACTGTCTAATCACTGTGTGCAAAAGACATGTGGCAGTGGATACAGTATGTTTCCATGAGATACATATGTGTTTATGAGCCTAGATAGGATGTGAAATTTAAATTAGGGGCTTGTTTATTAAAACAAAAATCGTCAAAAGTTGGCTCGTTGATTTTGCCTTGATGCAAAGATGAATAATATTTTTGTTGTTGCTAAACACCCTTACATCCCTATTCAATAGTTGCTGAGTAAACCATTATTAGATGTTATGTTTACATTGTAAAATAAGAGCAATATTTTATTACAGTACAGTAATTGGTTTCTTTGTAGGACTACCGTACAAGGTTGCACAGCGTATTGTAATGTAAATATGGTGGTGAGGAGGTGTTTGAAAACAAACAAAAATCATTTCTGTTTAGGCACGTTGAAAAACGCTGAGAATTATGGCTGAGCAAGAAAGGCAGAATATAACGTATCAAAGTTTTTAGAGGATCACAAGGATGGCGATGATCCCCCTCCACTAATGACAACATCCCGGCCTGGCAACTCACGAATCAGTTGTACGTTTCCACTCATCGACTTTCTCATCGTTTGGTCTATAAGCTCTATGTATCGCTAGTTTCTTCACTTTTACCAGGTTATTGTGTAAATCATATTTGAATGTGATGAATGTTAATAATATTTATATGTTAGAGAGAAAGGATTTTCAAATACATATATCGCAAGACAATATTATTTTGACAACGGTGAATGAGTTTGGGGTTTACCTTTTTCTCCGTCACATTGCTCACTAAAGTAGTGTATTACCTTATCTTTCAAAGTTCCTTAATCACCAGTATAAAATATAATTAATTGGCTGAAAATAAACGTAAGAGTTTGTTAAATTAAAGCATGGGAATTACTGGAATTCACTTTGAACAAGGCGCACGTGGCAACATTGAGGCAGGAAGCGGTCCTGGCAGGAGTCTGGATGGACTATAGTGGCTGCGGCCAGTTGCGCTTGGTATTCCGTAGTATTGACTTGTTACTAAGACACCTCTTGTCACAACAGTTTAACAACATTTTAAGCTGTGTACGTGACTGAATCGTTCATCCCACAACTTGCCATCTAATTGGTGAGTACAATTACGAAATTACGCATCATGTCAGGTCAGGTATGCTTGGAATTTCGTAACATGAAGTTGCTTGTACAGTACCTCGGCACTTCTTACTACGGTCAAACATGCTACAGTTCACAATTTTGTTTGTAACTTACCTTGGTTCAGCCACGCCATACCTTGCCATCTCGCCGGTGAGTCATATTTACAGTTGACATAAACGTTTTGTTAAAGTTATGTGAAAATGTGTTTGTTGTTACCTTAAGCTCCCAGGTTATAAATATTTAAACCATTACTGTTGGGTTCCCCCTAGTTATTCGCCAGCGTAACTAATTAGTCTTCAGATCACATATGTTTTGTCTACAAGTGTACAGAATATGACTTAGCAGTGTCTTAGTATACATATGCGTCTTCGTGAACCTCGTCTGTTTGCGTTGGTCCCTCTGCACGTGTAGATTATCTGGTTATATATGTGTATATGGGCGCCTTTGTGTGTGTATACATATGCACGTACATGAATGTATACACGTGTCTATGAATACGCATGTGTCTGAAACTGGATATTCACATTAACTTCCGGCTTACGTTATTCAAGACCTCATTGGTTTTGGTTTGTCATTGTATTGTTAACTTTGCTTAGGAACTGTCCTATAATGATCGTTTTAACTTTGGTTATTTTGGGTCTTGTTGACATTGACTATTCAGTGTCTTGTCAATTTTTCTCTCAAGATTTCGTTAACAAAGGTTACTCATGACCGTTGTTAACATTGGCTATACAAAACTTTTCTTAACTCTGGTTATTCAGTACTTTTGTTAACCTTGGTTATTCTGGACTTTTGTATAGTTATTCAAGACCTTAATTTCTGTTACTCAAGACTTATTAACTTTGGTTACTCAGGACATTTTTGTTATCTTTGGTTGTTCATGAATTTTGCTAACTGGTTATTCAGAATTTTATTTATACCGCTTATGCATCAGATTTTAAAACTTTAGAGGACTGTATGAAATATATATACACAATACAAACCCATTTATACACTAAAAGTTACGAGGTATACACAGGCAGTACAGTACACTTCCTCATCCTGGCAACTGAATTAATATATTCAAAAGCTTTTTACATTACAACGCGTAAATTTAGCATTATCAGTTATCTTTAGACCTCGTCACAAATTGCTCAAGAAGGATTCAAAACCTGTAGTTGTTCGTAGGTACGCTCAGTGAACATTGCCTCCCGTGACAAACAAAATGGGTAAAAAAGTTGGTCGATACTGTGTTCAAATATCAGCTTCTTGACGAAAAAAAACAGCGCCTGAGTTATCTCCTGAACTTACTGTAATGCCATGTCGCCAATGTGCCCTTAACAATAGCATTAGTGGTATTTTAACAGAAGCCAAATATTTCTCACCTTTGGAATCTTGTCGCTGTCAGGCTATAGTGTAATTGGTCTTTTTACTTAATCCTTTACCTCACTAACTAGCGGTATCCAACAAGCCCGGTGAAGAATCTGCTGAAATTATTAGTTTAGGGAAGACATTTGAACCTTCATCGTCTGCCCTTTTGACACCTGCCTTCACAGAGGTCATTATCACTATTCACTGCTGGTGTCATTGTCAAATACTACACTTAAACCTGGGTGGGGGGGGGGGAGGCATTTCTCTAACTTTCCTTTTGCATTACACAACTTCCTTCAATTTACCTCTGATTGAATATTTATGGAACCCCCCCACCCCCGCCCCCGTGCCTGAATTCCACCATGACAGTGTAATATAAATAAAGGGTGATGAAGGAAAGGAAAACGCAAATATAGTGTTGTAATATCCGAGACGGCCTGATGCGGAAGCGCCCCTGAACATCCATCTCGTTGCCCGATGTGTGGTGTAGGAGGTAGACTAATGCGCGGTAGAAGACCAAATTACGCGTTGTTTATTCAGTGTCTTGTTAACTGCATATGGGTATCTGTCATTAGCTTTGTTTATTCAAGTTCATGATTAACGCGAATCTCGGTTATTCAAAATATATTTTTTTCTTCTTGAATTATAGAGTATATACTCCATATAAGGCGTTTTAAGATACATGAAATAGCTAACGCGTTAGGTTTCCCGGAGTGTCCTTAAGAAAATACGACACTGTACCACGTCTTGGAGACAACTGTTGTACAACACAGTTTTCAGAAAACAATAAAATTAGGAGAACTGTTATTTGGACACTATGGAAAGAAATATTGAAGAAATTATATAGAAAGTTACGGAAAGAAAGCCCAAAAGGAAAAAGTCAAATCAGTCCATAATAAGTAAGACAAAAAATCGGGCCCCTTGTAAAGGTAATTTCTTCCGGACTCGGAAACCACATTTAACATCTAGCAGAACAGCTGTACCTTTCTTCTCTCGCTGCTAGGTGTTCGCATATTTACACACGCAATAGCAGCGAATTTCAGGTTCGTTTAAGTCTCAATTTTTGTTGATAAAATGATGGCAACAAGATATCGCCTTTTAAAGAAATATAGGTTATCTGTTAACCCGTAAAACAAATATCAGTACTGTGTATGTCAGTATGTGTCCCTGTATATATGTGCGAATACACGGATGTAGTGCTCCTGTGTGGTAGTGGTGGTGGTGTTGCAACAGGTAGAAGTAATTATAATTATTTCGCTCACCAAACAATACCACTATGTGCTGTTCCTAGCTAAAACGATGCCATTGTTTTGAAGGGAAGGGGCTGAAGTATGTCGCGTTTTTATATCTATGTGCGTGTTAGTGGAATATATATATATATATATATATATATATATATATATATATATATATATATATATATATATATATATATATATATATATATATATACAACTTCAGCAATAGACTTAATAATAAATAATAATAATTAACGATTTATTGAAAAAATTCTGCAGCCCGAAGGCTGAAAATATACATTGGACATAAATGACTTATTACATACATTGGTGGTTTAACAAAAGCCTTCATTAGAGAAAGGTAAAGGAACATACAGTGAACATACAGATTAATGCAGGTGTTGAACAGCAAACTCGTAGTGTAGTAATCCCTCACAGATGGTGTTATGAGGGGCCTGACGTGGTGTAGTAATTCCCTCACAGAAGGTGTTATGAGGGGCATCACGTGGTGTAGTAATCCCTCACAGATGGTGTTATGAGGGGCCTGACGTGGTGTAGTAATTCCCTCACAGATGGTGTTATGAGGGACCTCACGTGGTGTAGTAATTCCCTCACAGATGGAACTTGTTACGTGGAAAGCGTATATATATTTGTGTGGTAATCTTGGAGCAGATGGCTAACACCAGAACCGCGTTGTTGGATTTTGTTCATGTTTTCTTCAGATGTTCTTTGGATGAGAGCAGATAATGAAAATCATATAACTTTTTAATTTAATTTCAAGTATTTTTTATTTATTTTTCTCTAACGATCATAAATCGCCTTCAATGGGCAGGGTATGAACTATCAACAGGCGTGGGCTGGACCATCTGCAGTCATGAGTAATGTGGGTTATGTCCGTGAATGGAATTTGTGATGGGTGGTAGGACAGGAGATGTCGGTGTTTGGGGATAGCTAGCACTGCACTACCAATCTTTAAATCGCATGTCTTTGTCTTTATTGTATCTTTTTTTGTAAGAGTTTAAATTTTAAGTACAGTTTGGTGTCCTTAATCATAATTTCCTATGAAAATGTGTAAATATAATAGCGAGTGTATGCGTCTGTGTAAGTACAGTAAAATAGTGTGTGTGTGTGTGTGGAGAAGTGGCTAGGTTGTGGCCTTTGGCCCCCCCGCACCCAGATTTTCCCACTCCCCTACTGTACCCTGTCACCGTGAATCCCCTCCGCTCCCTCCCCTACCCCACCTTCACTTCCCGGGTCAAACGGGACTTCATGGGTAGCCCGAGTCAGCTCTGGTTTTCTCTTCTCTATTCCGTCTCTTCTTTTTCCTTATCTGCTCTGTTCTCTTCACTTATCTCTCCCTGGTTTAGGTTGGCTCTGGTGCCTGTGAGCGTAACATTCTACTGTTTCGTGTTTCACTCTTTCTTCCTCTTGTTAAATACCTTCACTGCCTAGTACTTATACTTGATACTTTTAATGCCTACTATTGTTGCTGATACTCTCACTGTTACTCTGTAATATTTTTACTTGATACTTTCACTGTCTTATAATTTTACTTGTCGATACTTAGTTGATACTTTCACTAATACTTGTACTTGTTGACACTTTCACTGTCGAATAATTTTACTTTTGATACTTTCACTGCCTAATATTTTTACTTGATAGTTTTACTTGATACTTTTTCTTGATGCTTTCACTTTCTAATAGTTTTACTTGATACTTTCACTGATACTTTTACTTTTGATACTTTCACTGCCTAATATTTTTACTTGATAGTTTTACTTAATACTTTTTCTTGATACTTTCACTTTCTAATAGTTTTACTTGATACTTTCACTCTGATACTTTTATTTCCTGATTGTTTAACTCTTAATACTTTTACTTGTTGACACTTTCACTGCCTAATATTTGTATTTTTTAAAACTTTTCATCGTGAAAATTTTTCTTGTCCATTACTAATACTCGCTAATACTTTCACCAGTGAAAATTATTGCCTGAAACCAGCTTTACTTGCTAATACTTTTACTTGCTAGTACTCTTATCTTGCTTATACTTTCACTGTGTAGTAGTTCTACCTGTCGATACCTTCATTGGCTGTTAAGTTTACTTTCTTGTCATTTGAAACTTTCGCTGTGTATACAGGTAACTGTCGTCTTGGATCGTCTAAATACTTTGGGCCTCTTGAAGATTAGACACCCTAGCTTATTTCGCCTGAAGATTAGACGCCGAACATTACCAGGGGGGCTACATAGGTTAGCGGTAGGTCAGGTTAGCATTTGATCAGGTCAAGGTTAGGGTAGTGTTTCACGAGCGTTAGGTTTGCGTTAGGTTAGTTTAAATAAGAGCGTTACGCTAAGTTAGTGTTGGGTTAAGTTAGGTTTACGTTAGTGT